CAAGATTTAATTATTGATATCAACAAAAATAAATCTTGCGCAGCTTGCCCGCATGCAGGAGCTCAATCTGTGACTTTCCACTTCACAAACAACTGTCCATACACAGTCTGGCCAGGAACTCTAACGGCTGCTGGCCGTCCGCCTATATCTTCAACTGGCTTCACATTGGCAACAGGTGCTTCATCTTCGCTAAGTGTCCCTGCAACATGGTCTGGTCGCTTGTGGGCCAGAACACAATGCTCAACGGATTCCTCAGGAAAGTTTGTTTGTGCTACTGCTGACTGTGCCTCTGGTGCCATAGAATGCAATGGAGCCGGTGCGATCCCACCAGCATCCTTGGCAGAATTTACTCTAAGAGGTGATGGTGGGAAAGATTTTTACGATATAAGCCTTGTTGATGGCTTTAACATCCCAATTTCGGTAACCCCGCAAGGAGGTTCTACTGGCTGCCCTTCTACAAGCTGTGCAGCTAACGTGAATGCTGTTTGTGATCCTAGTTTAGCAGTGAAGGGGGCAGATGGGACTGTGATTGCCTGCAAGAGCGCGTGTTTGGCATTTAACCAGCCGCAGTTCTGCTGCACAGGAGAGTACGGTACACCTGACAAATGTCCTCCTAACCAATATTCGACGACTTTCAAGCAGCAGTGTCCTGAAGCTTATAGTTATGCTTATGATGATGAAACGAGCACGTTTACTTGTCCTAGTGGAGGCAACTATTTGATTACCTTTTGTCCATGATCAAATGTCGTGGTTCACAACTCTTTCTTTTTATGGAAAGAGTTGGATGACAACACATTTAATATCTTTTTATGGAAGGAGTTGGAGGACAACATTTAATAAATGTTTTATGATAATTAATAAAGAAATGGAATAATAGATTTGGGATTGACATATCCCAAAAGGATCGATTATCAATTTTCATGCTGTTGATATGGTAAAACCGTATGCCATTCATTATAAATTAAAGATATTTTCAATTCATTGGTCAAGTAGTATGCATGCAATTCTTCAACTTATATGTACTAAGTATACCTGTGTCGAATTCAATTTCTAAACATTGTTGTTACCTTTGTTTCCCGAGTTAACTTGTCAACAGGTGCTAGTCTTTCTATGGGAATTTTTACTGGTTTTAAATCTAACCGTGCAATGCTCATTTTATAAATAAATTTAGCTCATTTTTTTTAAGTTGTCACGATTATATAACTTGGTTTAACTTAAAAATTTAAAAACATGAAATTCATTAAGAAAGTAAGAATTCAATAAGCAATCAATCCATGCACGAGATGCTTGTTTTAAATTATAAAGAAAATGTTTTAATTTGCAAATATGATTTGGGGATTGATAATCAGTAAATTAAGTTAAGAGGCTGGGTTATAAACACATCTGATTCAAGAAATCCATTGAAAAAAATAGCATGTATGCATGTATGTATATAAATATCAATCTAACAAGTAAACCAACATCAAATATCACCAAAGCATTGTCTGAATAGTGCAAGGCTTCCTCATATTAAATATCTTTTAAAAATCAAATCCTTTTTTTGTCGACAGTAGCCTTTAGTCACCAAACATGTTTTGTAGTCCTCAAAAGTCTCATCTTCCATATGTTTAATCTTGTATACTCGCTTACATCGTGCCACATTCATAGTTAGATCAATTAGTGAAAGTACATGTTAACTTTGAAGAATGCAGGGAGGGTGACACATTATCTAGATCAAAGTAACTGAAAAAAAAAATGTATAACTCAAGAAAAGTACAATGTTTAATGTAGCATGGACTTGATATTGCAATCATCCTTCTAGTTCAGAATTTTGGTATGGTGCGGAAAAAACATATATTTCTTGTTTTTTATAAATAAAAAATACTTGAAGTTGTAATCTTGTATTTTGATTATTAAAAATTCTAACTAGTTTTTAGAATTTAAATAAAGAGACAAGTTATGTATAGAATGGATATTATCACTTCTAATACATCATATCTAAAATAAGTTATATTATTTATTTTTTTAATTATTATTAAAACACTGTTTTTTTTTTAATTATTGGTCAAAGAAGATCTATTCCAATAGAAAGAATCATGGCTTTATGGGACAATCACAATCATTTTATAGCAAAAATATATTTTTTATTTATTCTTTTAATATCTAAAATATACATTACTTGTAAGCTCATAATTTATTATATTAAAATAAATTAATTAATTTTTTTAATATTTTTAAAACTTAGATCAAATCTTGTGAATTTAGTAAACTTGTTTTTAAATATTAAAGGGTAAAGAATGATGTGGAAAATCTAAAATTAATTACAAAATGGGCTCTTCAAAACTTGAAAAATAATTAAATTTGAACTAAGAAGTGTTTGAGAAAAAAAGAAAGAAAAGAAAAGATATGAAAATAGGGGTGGTCATATTTATCACACATACCCCTGTTGAAAAAAAAAAACTTAAAAATTGTCTTAAGAGCGTGTTTTTGCCTTAAAGACCCATGAAAGCATTTTTTTTCCTTTTCTTTTCTTTAACACTCTTAAACCCGTGATAAACCTATTTCTACATATATCAACCTGATTAACTTTAGAAAAGAGAAATGTAACTGTACTAGCATTAAAGAAAAGCCAAGGGACAGTAAAAAGAAACGAACCAGAAACCCTTGCACATACCGATTCTTCTTCAACCAAAAATCATTTTATTTGCGGCTTGGCCAATAATTATGCACAGCTAGAGGACTGGATCTTTTGAACATAAAAATCATGCACGATAGTCATCGAAGATTTCCATGCCTGGTTCATGCACCATCGTTAACAAGGGATCTAAAGCAAGGTAGCCATCCATCATCTCATGTCATGGATGCATACATCCAAAGCCCAAGCATGGAATGGAAAAACTCCCTGACAATCCTATGTAATTTTATTTTCTAAAGACAAAAAAAAAAAAAAGGAAAACCCATGACCCCAATAGTTATCAACATCTTTTTCCACCTTCTCATAATGTTCTTGAACTAAAGTAAGAGCATTCTTAATTAACTAGGCAAGGTCTTAACATGACCTTAGGACATGCAATCAAGTTTTCTAGACCATATGCGTTTAAAACAAAAATCACACCCCATCCCCTTCAGTATCCGTAGCAAGTGGCCCAGGTTAGGACTTAGAAGATCCACACACCATACGACACTATATGTTAACTTCATTGCACATAAATGTAAAGTCATTTAATTAGGTGGCATAATAAAGGAAAAGGGGGAGTTTGCCTTTGCAGTAGCATGCACATATGTAAAAGATTACAACTATATGAGAACAGGTAGAAGCTTTATACCTTGAGTGATTATGACGGAGATAGCTCCACTGGATATCCCGTACCTCTTCTTCACTCTTTTTTTGAGTGGCTAGTGCTTGAATAAAGCTAAGTCCAGAGAGGTCAGAGGCAAGAAAGTAGAACGAGCACGCTGAAGATGCACATGGACGATGTGAGTGGGCTCCTGGCCTGCCTTGGGTTTTGATTCCGGTAATGAACACCTCAGGTTAATGGTACTGTGGAAACAGCGGCTATGGTTTCTGGAGTCAACGTGGGGCAAGATAGAAACTCGACGGTGGCGAAAAGAGACAGCGCTGATGAGAGAGTCTGTATTGTTTTTTTGTTTCCAGTTACAGCTAAAAGGTGGTTTGAAAATGATAATCTAATTATTTTAGTTTTTTTTTTTTTTGGTAAAGAAGAAGCTCGCTAATGGGTGTGGACGTATGGGAACTTTTTGGCTACCCATTGAAAGGAAATGGATCGTCTGATTTTGAAAAACGGCAGTGAAGTTTTTCAGCCCCATTTTCTTCTTCTTCTTCTTCTTCTGCTCTCTCTCTCTCTCTCTCTCTCTCTCAACTCTACTCTTTATGATTAAGATTTGTGTGAGCTTTATAGAACACGAGCATTTTGTCCCAAATATACAACAATGATGAAGGGTCAAAATCGAACCAAAGAAATCAAAGAATATGATTGTTTCACCTATAAACTAGAACCTGCCCCATTGCCTATAAATAGAAAGGCAAGGTAAGAAAAAGGAGAAGGTGTTAAAAAAAAAACTCTAGCCTCCATAGAAAAATTAGAAGTAAAAAAAAATGAGTGGGTAAGAAACCCTACCAACCCTTGAAAAATTTAAGATACAGAAAGAAAAAAACTGGAGTGAAAGTGTAGAAATAAAAAATAGCCTTCTTTTTCTTTAAAACCTAGCCACTAAAGTAAATGAAGATCAAATGAGAATCTAAGAATTAACTATTAATTTTAGAAATTATGTAAATATTTATATTTTAGCTTAATAGCATAATTAAAATAAACTCAAACAATTATATATAGAGAGAGAGGATCGATATCAATTCAAGGTTCAAACTGTTTAGATATAGAAAATCCATGAACTGAAAATCCATGAACTTAAACAATTCACTCTATATATATAAGATTAGTATCGATTCAAGATTCAGTAGGTTTAAATTGTTTAGATATAGAAAATGCATAAACTTAAACAATTCACTCTCATTTTAAATCATGTATTATTCAATTTTTACCTTCTTTTTATAGTTTAGATATATAAAATCTATATTTGTGTTTAAGAGAATTTAGAAGGTCTGTAATACTTATAATGACTTAAATTGTAACATGAATACCATCAGATTAAAGCTTTTTTTTCTTTAAAAGATAAAGCTAAAACATAACTATAAAATTTGAGACCAAGATTTATTTGTGTTTGGGATGAAATGCAACAATAATTTTTAAAGAATTTTTTTCATCTCATAGAACAAACTCTTTCAAAAAACAAATCACTACTTTCACCTAAAAACCAAGAGAAATATTTTACTAATGTTAGGAAAGATATCGAGACTTGCTTAATACTTTCCCTCATCATGGTTTTGAAATATGATGATTAGTTTTACATTTTTATGAAGGGTTAATACCTAAAGATAGATAAATGGTTGAATTGATGTGCAATGAAACTTTTAAAAATAAAAACCCTTATGAATCAATAGAGTACCTAGACTTATTAACTAAAATGCTCAAAATTGAAACACTGTAGGTACTTATGAGGTACCGGATAAAAAGAAACATTGTAGGTACTTATGAGGTACCGGATAAAAAGCAACCTCATACATCTAAGGGAGATATGTACAACCTTAAGGAAGATCATAACCTCCAAGTCAAGTTTTCACCTTTAGCTAAAAAAGTCAAGGCACTAGAATTGAAAAAGAGTAGTTAATTAAAATCTATTCAAATAATTATGTATCAAATCTATGAAACCAATAAACACTTAACCAATGACTATCCAATGACACGACTAAAAGATTGATGTCTTCTCCCAAGTGCAGGAGTGTCGAAGTAAAAAATAACCCGGCAAGACCGGGGTCGAACCACAGGAAGGTTAATTGTATAAATTATAAACAACAATAATAGCAATAATAACAACAACAATAA